TAAAAAATATATATAATCATTAAAAAAATACACGAGACGAATATGCCCGAAACATATTTTTTATCTCTTGTATCCGTCTATTCATTTTAACGGTCCAAACGGGATTCATCCATTTTTCGAAAGTAATCATCTAGACTTAGTTATATGACAGTTGTTAAATAGTTTGGTGCAGAATGATTAAGAGAATCTCATGATATAGTGTAAAATGAAATATAATTGTTTACAATAAAATTAGGACACTGAATGGTTAAAGGAGACCCGTGATATAAAATCATTCAAAAGGTTTTAAAACCAATAGATAGATTTTTTTTTGTCAAACAAGATTCACCTCTTAACGATTCAAATACTGTCTCTTAATGGAACTATTAAGAGATAAACAAACAACTTCTACATTTGTACGAGCATCTCCAATAAATTTTTAGTAATTTCTATAAAATAGATGAACAAAAGTTTGAAATTTTTAAAAATATCACATTCAACTCCAATAAATTTTCGATTTTAGATTTTCAACATTAAATATATTATTAAAATATTTATATTTTTATTATCTAAATAAACTTTTATATAAAATAATAATAATTCAATCTCATTAGTTAGAAAGAATTAAAAAAAACCATTTATCTCCTTTCACATTAAGTTTTAGAAAATTATCTGTACTTTGAGTTTTTTCTTATATTTTTATTTTTATTTATTTAGATAATAATATAGAGAATCTGTTGGAACAAAATATATAAGGTCATCTCCAACAAATTCTTTAAAATATATAACACTGAGATTTGTGTTCTCTATCTTGTTTCAGTAATATCTATATTGTTCTTTAAAATATGAAATATATATATATATATATATATATTTCAATAATATAATTAATGTTGAAATATCTAAAATAAAGATTCCGTTGGAGGTGAATGTAATTCTTTTTACAAATTTTAACTTTTGGTTTTTTACTCTAGATAAATTATAGAGAATTTGTTGAAAATAATTTTAACACAACCCCAGTTTTTTATTTTATTTTAAAAATATGTTAGATTTAAAGAAATTTGAGATAGCAAAAAAAATAGGTTGTGGACCGACCCCAAATTGGTCATAGTCGTGGTCCTTGATGCCTTCTCGTAGTCGTAACTAGTCTCGATTCTGGCCAAAAAAACCCGTGTCCGGTCTCCATATTTTCTAACTGAGTCAGGCCCAAACCGGTCTCAATTTCTTTTTCTTCTCAAAAATTTGTTTTGAACGTAAAAAAATATTGTTTAAAGATTTTTATGGACAATATATTATTGAAATACACTTTGAAATCTCTAACGTTGTGTTCTCAAATTTGGGAAGAAAACATAAGAAAATGGAGGGAAAAGAAAAAAAAAAGAAAAATAGTTTTTTTTATTTGTATTCTCGAAAAAGGAAGGAAAAAAGAGGAAAGTAATAAAAAAGAATAAAAAAATTAATGTTCTTGAACAGAAAAGAAAGGAAAAGAAAAATATCATTTTTACAGATATACCATTTAAAAATATGTCGTTTATAAAAAAGATTGTGCAGTTCTGTATTTTAATAATCTTTTTAAAGAGTTTTTAGTTCCATTTCTTCCCACATTTAGAAAGAAAGTTTTGACAGGAAATTTATGATTATTTTCCTTTTATTTCATTTTATTTCCATCCTAAAAAAGTTACGAGGACACGGGTTTTTTATGGGTCATTCAAATACATTTAAAAAATGTTATATATTTTTTATAATTACGATTTTTTAGATTTATTTAAACTTGAAAAACATAAAAAAAATTAAAGTTTTTGATAAAAAAAAACTTGACAATTCTTGTAGAAATATTAAAAAAAAAAACTTAATATATAATTTATAAAAGCTTAATATTATTTTTTTAAATTCGGGTCTATGTATAACCGGTCCCAAGGCAGCCTGTGAATTATGATAAAAATCGTAACTGAGTCGGAATGCTGGGTCCAAATTGGTCCTTATTGGTCCTGGTTCTACCTCGTTCTCATTTTCTAAGGGTTCATTTGGTTTGCAGTAATAAAATGGATTTTGAAGGATTTGTATTTTAAATTCATTTCAATTTCATGTATTTTGTATGATTGTCCGGATTTGAAATCCTATGATTCATTTGAAATCCCTCAGTTGATGTTGGAAACTCTAAGGAGAGGGTTGGTATTTCAAATCACAATCTGGACGGATTTCATAAAAAAGTACAATCGCTTCATTAACTTGTGTATACGTGGAGATCTCTAGCACTACTAAAAATATGATTTTTTTCTAACAAACATGAAAAAAGTCAACTTTTATTGACTTTCGTCACAAACCGCCACTGATTATTTGAAAAAAATTGGTTACTTTTCCCGGGGATAGGTAAATTTATTTATTTATTAAAAATAATTAATTTTAATTAACTAAAATTATTGGTGGAACTTAATTAATTATTTTTAATTAAAATCCGTCGATAATCCGTCAATAATTTTAATCAAACAAAATTAATTAAATATTTTTTAATATAAAAAAACATGATTTTGGTATTACCGGACGAATTGTCGAGGATAATCCAATCAAATGGATAGGGATGTCTACCAATAATACCAGAATCGTGTTTTCTTATTTTTTTTTTATAATAAAACTTTTATGGTATTGTTGGCGGATGGGAGTGTCTGCTGGTAATACTGAAATCATGATTTTTTTTATTTTTTTAATAAACATTTTTTAACTCATTATTTGAAAACTATATTTTTGTTAAAAAAATTGCATTCCCATCTGTTGATGATTAAATATATAGTTTTTGAAAAATCGATAACAAAAAAATAATTTACCAATAAAAACATATTCTTATAGACAAATAAATAATTACCAAAAAAAAAAATTAAATCCAAATCCTAAAAACCAGACATGATTTAAAAAGAAATAAAATCCAAATTCTACAAACCAAACACATAAAATGATTCCAAGTCCCTCGTAAAATCCGAATCCCTAAGAATAATCCTGTAACCCAAACATTTTATAAAATAACGGGAAAAATCTAAAAAAAATCAATGGACTTTAGTATTTAGAATGATTAAGTCCTTGCACAATTTTTTTTGAAAAAGTAAGTCCTTAGACATTTCAAAAATGTTAAATAACTCATCTGACTTTCTAAACCATGTTAGATACATTCTTATAACATATAAAACTAGTTAATGTAGTAAAATAATGAGAAAAACCTGGAAAAAAAACCCAATAAACTTTTATATTTGAACGATTAAGTTTCTAAAAAAAAATTGAACCAAAAAAATACTTACATTTAAAAAAGATTATTGATGATTGTACTTACGGAAAATATGTTTTTAGATCTCGCATTGAAAACCCCCCTTCATTTTATTGTAATACATAAGATAATACATATTGAAATGTACAATCATCCATAAAATAAGATTTACTTTTTGTTAAATACAGGAGAAAAAAACGTCATTTTCTTCCCCAGTATTTTCCCAAAAGATTCAAGGGGTTTCGTTCCATATTTCATATAGATAGAAGTATTTTACCAGTATTATATTTTAAATGAGAACAAAAAAACGAAATGGACATAAAAATTATAAATTTTAATAGAGGAGATAAGGATGTGGAAAACAAGACAATAATTCTCTATATGATACTGTGGACCAATAGAAGTGATATAGCGCAGCTTGGTAGCGCGTTCGTTTTGGGTACAAAATGTCACGGGTTTAAATCATGCATCTCTACCTGTTATTGCTCCTTGAGCAGTAACGAGGGATTAAAAAAATTTGTCGGTGATTTTTCAAACTAAAAAAATAAAAAAGTATTTAAAAAAATTATTGATTACATTTATTTTAATTAAAAATAAAATATATTATGTACATGATTTCTCGAAATAAAATAAAAATTAGTGATGAAATTTATTTTAATTAAAAATAAAATATATTTTATTAGTGATTTTTTAAATTAAAAAATAAAAAATAATTTGATTAAATTATTGAAGTATTAACGATAAAATTTAACTAAATTATATAATTAATTAAATTTCATCGCTAGTGTTCATTGATATATATGCATGAATGACTAACTTGACCACTATTAGGTGCTCTAACACAGTAACATATTAATAAGTGTGAAAGATCATACTTAAATTTATGTTGGTGATATTATTTCACCAACGGATTAGCGACGAATTTTAATTAATTATGTATTTAGCTAAATTTTATCGTTAATTCGTGAGTAATCTAATCAATTTTTTTAATTTAAAAAATCATCAACGAAATATAATTTATTTTTGATTAAAATAAATTTCATCAGTTGTCTTTTTTAAATATTTTTTAAAAATTTTTAATTTAAAAAATCACATACATAATATATATATTTTTAATTAAAATAAATTACTCAATAATCTTTTTTAAATCCCCTTTTATTTTATTTTTAATTTGAAAAATCACTACATATTTTATTTTAAAATAAAATAAGTAATTTTTTGGTACATTTATTTCATTTTATAAATGTAACTATTTTTTTTTCAAAAAAAATGTTTAGGGACTTAATCATTTAGATTATGAAAGTCCGTTGGGTTTTTTTTCCAGAATTCTTCCATTATTTTACCACATTAACCAGTTGTATAAATCATAAGAATGTATCTAACAGGTTTTAGAAAGTCCAAAAAGTTATTTAATAAGTTTTAAAATATCTAAAGACTTATTTGTTTTCAAAAAATTGTTCAACAATTTAATCATTTTAAATAATAAAGTTCATTAAATTTTTTAGATTTTTTTCTAAAATAAATTTTAGAAAACAATCAACGGACCAGATTTATCGTCACTTTAATATATTGTTTTATCAAAGATTCAAAAAAGATACGGTGTGTTTGTTTTCTGGATCCAACACGAAGCGGTACATGGCATAACCGTGAATAAAAGCAAGTCCAGTGTCACTTTCCTTCGACCACAACTCCCTCGGTCCCATCGACGGCGAACTACATAAATCATCACCGCTCGCACACGTCCACCTCTTCAATCAACGCCTGTTCCGACGACCGCCGCCGGCGAGATACACAACTATGCTATCAAGAGTTGTTCCGACTGCCGCGGCGGCGGCCACGACGTACAATGGCGTCTTCAAAGACAACTCTATCGCCGTAACTCATTCCCGATCCGTCGAATTCGTCTCAATTCGAAAAGGAAACACCGGTTTATTGTGCAATTCACCGTCGCGGAAGGTTGCGCCGGTAATGGCGGTGAAGACCAATGAGCAACCGACCAGCGTCGCTGTTGGATTGAAGGAGGCAGAGGCGGAGAAGAGCCTGGCGGATCGGCTTCGGTTAGGGAGTTTGACAGAAGATGGGTTATCGTATAAGGAGAGGTTCATCATAAGGTGTTATGAAGTTGGGATTAATAAAACTGCAACTGTTGAAACAATTGCCAATCTGTTGCAGGTTAGGTTTCAATATATTGCCTCTTTTTTGGTGTTAAAAACTGTTATATTTTCTGTATAATCGGTGAATTGCACAATGCATATGTATTCTTGCTATGGAATTAACAACAATGGGCAGTCTCGCTCGGTCCCATCAATGGCAAACTACAAAAATCATCACCGCTAGCTGAACTCGTCTCAACCAAGACCTGGTCCGACTTGTTTATCGGAACATCTCCCGATTGAAAGAGGTGAATTCTGTGAGCGGTGATGATGATGATTTATTTAGTTTGCTGGGACTTGGAGGAAAGTCGTGGATTTAGGCATATAACCTTTCAATCCATGACCTTTATGAAGCCATTTTTCTATTAACATGTCACAAAGTCATGAATTTTATTAGAATTTCATATGATTAACCTATTTTTCGGTAAATCAATTACGAATTTTTTTTCTAGAATGCCTAAAATTTGTTTTACATCTTCTATGCGAAAATGCTCCATTTTCAGACTATGTATCGAGAGAGTAATATGAGAAAAAGGTATTTCCGATTTTATTATCAGAAGTGCAGTTCAGCGTCACAAACTTTATGTACCTAAATGACTAATGTGCATGTATAGTTTTCACTTTTTAGAGAGGATATCAATGATGTAGATGGCAAATTTAGGTCCCGTATGGTTTGTAGGATTTGAAGGAGGATTTGAAGGGATTTGGAATTCAATTATATTCTAGTCCCATGTGGAGGATTGCTTGGATTCAAAATCCCGGGATTTCATTGGAATCTAGGGTCGTGAGATTTCTTTGAAATCCCATGAGGTTGTTGGTATTTTATGGGATTTCACAGGATTTGTGTGTAATAATGTTTTATAATATATTGAAAACATTTGTTTTATAGTAATCAATTAATTAAAAGATAATTTAATTTTTTTTATAATTATTTATATAATTTAAAATTTTTTTTTGTAATTATTTATACTTTGTTTTTTTTAATTATTTATAAAAAATGGAATTTCAATTACATTCCAAATCCTATAAACCAAACATAGCAAAATCCAAAGATTCCAAATTCTTCTACAAAATCCAAATCCGTCAAAACCATTCCATTGAACCAAAAGCACGCGTAGGGTCCATGGATGGATTTTGAATTGCTGGTGTGTTTCATTTATAGGAGTTGGAATGGAATTTAATTTCATTCTTTATAAATAATGTATAAAAACAAATTATAAAAATAATCGAATTACCTTATTATCAATTGATTATACTAAACAAATGTTTTTTAAAACATCATTACAAATTAGATCATATGAAATCCCGTGAAATACCAACTAAATCCCATGTTTGAGGGATTTCATTGAAATCACGGGATTTTTGGACTTCTCTTTAAACCAAACACTTTGATTGGAATGGAATCCAATTCCAAATTCCACCAAATCCTGCAAACCAAATGGACCCTCAGATCATTTGTTGGATTGATTTTTCTGCGGCAGGAAGCAATTGTCTATGGAATGCTATATTAACAGCTTTAGAAAATTTCGACATATTATAGGAGGTTGGAGGTAATCACGCTCAAAGTGTTGGATTTTCAACAGACGGATTTGCCACCACGACCACTATGAGAAAGTTGCATCTCATATGGGTGACTTCACGAATGCATATTGAAATTTACAGATACCCTGCCTGGTAATACTTCAGGTGTTTCAGCCAAAAACAAAACATATTTGTGACATAGGTTATTGCATTTGAAACATTTTTTTATATTCTCTATGGTATCGTGTGTGATAGGAGTGATGTGGTTGAAATTGAGACTTGGTGTCAAAGTGAAGGAAGGATTGGGACCAGACGTGATTGGATTATAAAAGACCATGCGACTGGTGAGGTCATTGGAAGGGCTACAAGGTGAACTCTTTGAATACCAAGTGAACTCTTTAGCTTATGTGAAATGAGATGCATCCATGTTCCCGGAAACTTTACCTAGTCATATTCTGAGCAAAGTTGTTCATTGAACCTATTCAGACTTTGGATTAGATAAGTCACCCTACTTGTGATGGTTAAAAAGGGACCGTTTTGCATGAATATATATATATATATATATATATATATATAGAGAGAGAGAGAGAGAGAGAAGAGAGAGAGAGAGAGAGACAAAAGATCATGTGAGAATAGGAGCTAAGGTAAGAAGTGTAAGAAGGGATTTGGACCCTTGATCACTTTTAATCTCAAACCAACCCATTATTGTGCTTTAGAAGGGAATTGATCCCGTGTTTCTCATTAGTGTTGATCTAGTGGAACACTTCCATTTGGATTGATTCAAGGGTGGAGATCCCTTCTTACCCTTCTCACCAAAACTCTCATTTTCACCGGACCCCAACCCTATATATATGTGTGTGTGTATATATATTTCCAGCTTTGGGCTTTGCCTAACCAGCAGCCAGCCTCTTGTTGTCTGGCCAATTATGTCTATTTCCAGCTAATCCACCGGAGATTTTAGGTCCCGGATGTGTAACTTTGGGTTCTTTTTGTCTGTTTATTGTGGACTGCAAAATGATCAAGATAGCACTAGAACTGCAAATTGATCCTTTCCTGTTAAAACGCAGCAAGTGGGTGATGATGAACGAGGATACTAGAAAACTCCAGAAAGTCAATGATGACGTCAGAGACGAATATCTAGTTTTTTGTCCCAAGACACCAAGGTAGGTTCATTGTTTGCTAAATGCTACATTCTCTATGGTATTACTGTGTTGGGTAAACTCGTAAAATAAAATTACCCTCTATATTGATTTGAAAATTATAGTATCATGAGGCCACAATTCCTAAACAACTAAATGCATACACACTAACATTTTTGTACATTTTAGACGAGGGCCATGAGAGTATGGCGAAATGAAATTACATGAGCATGTATCTTTTGGAGATGCATCAACAGATTAATTCAAACCATATTAAACTGACCTAGTAAATCCCACTTGAAAGTAGGGTTTGGGAGGGGTGAGATGTACTCGGACTTGACCCCTAACCCCCAAAGAGTAGAGCAACTGCTTCCGTGAAGACCCCAATTAGCATATTGGTGAACGAAGCACGAGAAATAAGTAAGAGAAAGTGACTAATTCATACGTTGGATAAGTCCAAGAGGTAATGCAAGGCAATAGTGATATAAAACAAGGCAAAAACACATCCCGAGCCTAAATTCCAGCTCTCTACCACCCTCCCAACCTGTCCAACTTCCTTTGCCCAACCGGGCTAGCTATAGGTGTAACATCCGCGGCCAACCGTACTAGATATTGCCCGCTTTCTCCACACACCTGAACTCACAGTTTTAAAATGCGTCTGATAGACGAGGAATCTAATCCCTAGGCAACTTTCGTTCCCCTCTCCAACCAATGTGGGATCTTACAATCCACCCCCTTGGGAGCTCAACGTCCTTGCTGTCACAGTAGACCGGTTCCCAGCTTTGATACCATCTATAACATCCAAGGCCAACAGTACCTGATATTGTCCACTTATCCGGTCCCTTGTAAGGCAACTTTCGTTCCTCTCCCCAACCAATGTGGGATCTTACAGTGGGTCATAATACCTAGTTTGCTATTGTAGTCCTCTGTCTCCAAGTACTCCTATTAGAGATCACATCCTCAGAAATATCTGAGGCCGTCATGTTCGACCTCAATTGCTCCTCCCACATCCTCCTTGTCCGTCCCTTCCTCCTGACTCCTCATTAGTCTCCTATGAACATGCTCAAACCAGCTCAATCTCCCCTCTTCTCAATTTATTCGTTATTGGGGAAAACTCCCAACTCCGCCTGGAAAACGTCATTCGGAACTTTTTCTAACATGGCCTGACCATAGGTCCACTTAAGCATCCTCATTTCCGCAATTGTTTTGGATGTCTGGAGTTGAACCTAGGCCAAATGGGATATTCCACCACATCTTCCTGGTCCTCAACCACTACACTGCAATCCTTGTGGTTAACATATTAAAATATTATTGCTAATTACAATCACATAAAGGTGATGGGTTAAATTTCCATTAATCCTTACACTTTAATCTCCGTTGTAGTACCACAAAAACTCTGCTCGGTTTCATTGATTGTTTTGTGGCTTCCAGATTAGCCTTTCCTGAAGAGAACAGTAGCAGCGTGAAGAAAATAGCAAAACTAGAAGACCCTGCCGAATATTCGACGCTAAGACTTGTGGTAAGACCAACGTTTATTCAAAAAATATGCTCTATTTTCTTGTTAGAGCATCTCCAACAGATTCTCCAAAATTGAGATTTTTGACAGTTTTTGCTCCAACTTATTCTCTAAAACTTTCTCCATAATAGAGAAAGTAAGAGAGAGATCCAAATTTGAAGAACTCCCCAAAAATGATTACTAGGAGAGAAATAATTTTTTATTGTATTCCCAATTTCCCACCAATAAGGAACCTTGATTTTAAATGTTTTGGAGAGAGAAATAGTATTTATTAATTGTATAAAATATTTTTAATAATATAATTAATGTTGTAGTCTCTAAAATAGAGAATCTGTGAATTTGAAAGTAATTTTTTTGGAGATTTTCAATTTTAATTTCTCCATTTTGGAGAATCTATTGGAGATGCTATTATAACTATCAGGAATTTAATGATCGTCTGAAACATACAGCCAAGAAGAGCCGATCTCGATATGAACAAGCATGTCAACAATGTTACCTACATTGGGTGGGTTCTTGAGGTCAGTAAGATTGTGATCCACATATGAAGGATGTTTATCGTATCTATCTTTCTCTTTCTGTCACACGGTTCACAAGCGGAGTGTCTTCATGGAAACAACCACTCTACTCTTTGGGGTAGAGGTCAGGCCTGTATACATCTACCCTTGCTAGATGGGTCCCACAAAAACAACTTCTCTCTACTTCTTGGGGTAGAGGTAAGTTTTGTTCTTCTTTTTGAAGTATATAATATTTATATACAAGTAATGAAACTCACACACACACCTAACCTTGTTGAGGTTAAAACCCTTGACCTCTAGAAAAGGACCCTAACCTGTATGAATTTACTGGCCTCATTTGGTTTATATGAAGGATCAGTAGCGAGATTAGTAAAATTCTTTCTCGTGTTTCTTTCATATGTCCGTGTATACATGTTACGTAACACATAAGTTTGATTTCAAATATTTCAAAAAAAGAAAACGTTGCAGTTTTATTGGATGTCGGTGTGTTGGCCCCCTTGGAAATTAGAATACAATCATGTGTCCCTGGGGTTGAAATATTCATTTCTCCCTCCGTTCCAAAATAAATGTACACAACGAAAAAGACAGATTTAGAAATGTGTAATTATTATTACTTTTTAATTAACTAAACGACAATATTATCCTTGCTAATAGAGGGAATAATGAATTTATCCATCTCATAATTAAGTGTAGAATTGGAAAGTAGGCACTTACGTTTGAAAGTAGACACTTAATATCTTTTTTTGTTCATTTGGGTTTCTGGGTCAACTTATGCACACTAACTAATCCCTGGGCGACTATGAATGGCTTGGAATCATTGTATGTGAATCTCCATTGCCATAAAGGCTTTGGCACCTGGATTTGAACCTGGGGAAGATGAGATTTCCACTACATCCCCCTCAGTCTTAATGAGTGCGCCCCAACCCACGTGGCTAGTGGACACTTATTCTGGAACAAACTAAAAAATAGAAATGTGGACACTTATTTTGGGATGGAGTCGGTAATTAACTATTACTAAAACCGTTGCAAAATTTCTCTCTTTGACAGAGCATCCCACAAGATGTCATTGATACTCATGAACTACAAACGATTACCTTAGACTACAGGCGTGAATGCCAGCATGACGACATAGTCGATTCGCTCACAAGTTCTGAGTCACTCGATGATCCTGCCATCTCAAAACTCGAAGGAACCAATGGATCTTCTGCTCCCAAAAAAGATGCAGCGGATTTGAGCCGGTTTTTGCATTTACTAAGATCATCAGGTGCAGGTCTTGAACTAAACAGGGGTCGCACCGAGTGGAGAAAGAAACCCGCAAAAAAATGAGCAACGTCCTTAGGTTTGTTCAGCGTTACCTTTTTTTTTTCGTCTTCCTGCTTTGTGCATGTTTTCAATCCGTTTCATAATTCGCCTTGTAGGATTTCGTTCGTTTTTACTTAGTGTATTTGTTGTCTACCTTTTTAGGTGGACTAGATTTCCGGATTCTCGAAACCCGACAGGTGCTCTCTTTATCTTCCTATGTCTTGCATGTAGAATGGCATGAATAATCTATCTATGAAGTAATGTTTTTGTTAGAAAAATAAACATGTTTCCCGATATTTGCTAATACGAACGTGTAGTTAAAATCGTCGGGGGCGGACCTATGAAGGTCCCAGCAGGGTCCTATGTACTTGCTCAATCGGTTTTCATAAGTAGAATTTTTATGGGGGCATGAAAGGTATACCCACTAAATTTTGAGGGGTGCTTAGAGGTATAAACAAGTCGAACTTTTAACAAGCTACTCGAGCTTAATAATTCTCGAGCTTGAGTCTATCTCGAACACAAAGTAGAACTCGTTTAACTTAACGAGCCGAGCTTCATAACACTAATATTTAACTCGGCTCGTTCGAAAACTCAATTAAATTTTTCGATTCGAGTCGAGCCATTCGAGCATACACTTGAGCCAAACATGATCATATGTTTATAAATTACACAATAGAATATAAAATTTATCAACCTCGGGTCCATAAACAAGTTAATCGATCGTGAGTTCGAGCCCATAAATGAGCATCGAGCTCGATAACTCGTGAATTATTTGAGCTCGAGCCTTACATTGAAAAAGTTATTCTAGTTCGAGCCTAGTATTTTTTTCCCGAGCCGCACTCGGATAACCTACTACTCGGCTGGGCTCGTTTAAACCCTAGAGTGCTCAAGGATGTTAGAAAATATAAGCGACACTGACCAAAAAACCGAATAAGTCCCTCGAAGTTGACCAAAAAATCGGAAAGACCCCATCGAAATCAATCAAAGAACTTTAAAAAATTAAAAACACCTCTAATAAACTTTGTGGACTTTTGATCCACCTCGACAGATTATGTCATTGTTGTACCATATGTTGAACTGTATGTGCATTGCTTCTTTAAGTTGACCTTTTCTGTGTAAATTCATGCTTAGAGCATCTTCAACAAATTTTCTATAATTTATACTACCTTATAAACATAGATTTATCAAAAGTACTAAAAACAATTTTTAATGCACAAAGTATTATACGTTTATGTACAAAGTCTTAAAAACAACTCATAATTCATTAAGTACTACTACTTTATGCATTTAGTCTTAAAATCTCTTAATCTACAATTAAAATAACATATAGTGCAAGTTACCAATGCACATTATTATCTTTTCTTTTTATGTTCCCAAGATACTTTTGACACTTTTCACTTATGTTTCACCCTCTCATATCTCTATGTCTTCTCCCCATCCCCTAAGGGGAGATTCAAACTGATATTCACCATGAGTTATTAAAAGTTTTTCCATTCATTTCCCATTCAATTGCTCTAGAACTCTCGGTCTCACTCTCGATCTCTTGATTCTTTGCTCTTGGTGTAAATTGAACACATTTGTGGAGTCGTTTAAATATGTTCAATTTTAAATATATTGGATTCTAAACTGTCATACATTTTTTTTTCATCAATAGACTGTAATTGGAACTTTAACTCTTATTTATTCAAATTGTATTAATATGTAAAGACCAAGTGTAACTTATATTATCGTTAAATCTTCTCTAATAAAACCAGTGAAACTTCAAAATCGTTAAAATTCACGGCTTCCGCCGCATTGCGTGGGTACACAACTAGTTTCTCTAAAATAGAGACTGGAGTATTTAAAAAATCTCCCTAAAAAATGACATTTGTGCTTAACAGAATTCTCCATTTTAGGGATTTCAATATAAAATTATATTTATTAATAGATTTAATATTCCAAAAAATATTCAGATATATTTTATATAAAATGATAATACATTCAACGTATAACAATTAAAAAAATCATCTCTCTCTTTTCAACATTTAAATTTATGGAGTTCGATTTTTATTCTCTCTCCTGCTTTCTCAATTTTGGAGAAAGATACAGAATCTGTTGAAACAAAAAACAAAGGTTAAAAACTCCAAAATATGTAAATTATCTGTTGGAGATGCTCTAACTGTGCAAGTACTTTATAGTTTATACATCTAGAGGATCAATGCCCATCATATGACCAGTTGATATAGAAACACGTATCTGAAAGCATATACCAGATCAAACAAACCCAATATATCATATCTAAAAGTAGGATTTGATGGTAAGATGTACATAGATCTTTCATCTGTTCCAAGAAATTAAATTCTCTGTAAATTGACTACTAAACTTTCAGTACATCAAAGGTTGTATTAGAAGCCTAATATTAACCTGTGTTTATTAATGTCTATAAACAATAAAAGCAGCCTAATTAGGAGTAAACCAACAAACATCTTTTTGAACATCAAAAGAAAATACAAGAAATCTTTTCAACTTCTTCTTGTCTCAATCTTTGCCCTCTACCTTCGGTTTGGCTGCATCGCCGGGTCCAACTACCGGATTCTTGCCAGGACCGCCTGGGTACCTCCCGGGACCGCCTGGATACCCGCCAGGACCGCCTTGGTACCTGCCAGGACCTCCTGGGTATCCGCCGGGACCTCCTGGGTACCAACCCTGATACCCACCAGGGAACCCACCAATACCACCGGGAAACCCACCAATACCGCCTGGAAACCCTCCAATACCGCCTGGAAACCCTCCAATACCGCCCGGAAACCCTCCAATACCGCCCAACCAACCTAGTGGGTACCCGAGGCCCAAAGGGAACCCGAGGCCCAGAGGGAACCCGAGGCCCAGAGGGGAGCCGAGGCCCAGAGGGGAGCCGAGGCCAAGAGGGAAGCCGGGGAATGGGAATAGATGCAACAACAGTGCAGGTTTCTCACCAATTACCTTTTTCGACCCATCTTTAGCATCACCCGTATTCTGGAAACCAGCTCCAGAATCCGGGTGGTAAATGGGATCGAAAGGGTTATTACCTTCAATACCCTCTGATTCCGGTGAAGCTGCATTAGATTTCCCTATTTTTCTTGTATCGGCCCGAATTAGGGTTCCGATACTCGAGAAAACTATAAGAAATGTTGCAAGCAAAAGCAATGGTTGATGAACTTTTCCCATTGGTAAATTAACAAGAACAACAGTAAAAAGAGAGAGAAAATTGCTTTTTTTTTTTTTTACTTTGGGTGAAAATTTAGGGTTTGAGGGCTTCACAATTTATAGGGTAATTTGGTGGTTGAATTCATCTTCTTGTTTACCTATTATAGAAACCAATTTAACAAGCATTTATGCATCAGAATTTTACTTCGATTAGAACTCGTTAACGATAAGATGACCAAAGTCTTTATGGCACGAAAACACCCCAATTACTGCATTGGGAAAAATCGTAAGGAATCTAACACATCGAAACATACCATTTTTGTATCTTGCAGAGAATCGTATTTGTTGAAATTATATAAGATTAAGGAGTTGCTTACCATTTTTGTAGCTTATTGGGTGTCACTTAACTTAACGGGTTAGCATGACAAAAATCTTACCCGGTAAGAGGCATAACAAAAACTAAGAATCTTACTCGGTGAGTGAGCCCGGTAAGCGCTTACCAGGTAAAAGACACTTACCAATAATCCATTTTGATGACCAAGAATATTACCCGATTAGGTATGTGTGTGTGGTGGTTCTTGCTGGTAAGCTCTTATTCTGTAAACGTTTGATAAATGACCCCTTACTTGTAGTCAAAATAATCAGATTTAAAGAAGCAAATGGAGCGTCTGAAAATGATCCTAGGGGCCTAAACGTTCAACAAACCACGTGCCATCAAACTCCAAGACTAGTTTTTATGGAAATATATATATATATATAGATAGAGAGAGAATGTTTCAGATACAACTTATCACATTTATACAATCAATGCAACCTAATCAATTAAGATATTTATGTAAATGATGAGAGTTTATTTATTATGATTTGAATATTTATGAAAGATGACTATGGTTTATTAATTATGATCAATACTTTATATTATGAAACAATCAAAACTTTTATGAAATCGCATATTCATCAAATTAAATGGACGGTTGAGATTGAGTTGTATTGGTTGTACAAATGTAAAATGTTACATAATAACTCACCTGTTGGAACGTCCTCTCTCTCGTATGTATGTATTTTCTGAATTTAGAGATTTGTCTATTTTCTCTCATTTTTTTTAGATGAGAGTTTAGCATAGCTGTTGAAACAACTTTTTATAATAAGATTTCTGAAATATCATAGTTGTTGGGGATGCTTTGTCACCTCATCGTCCACGTAAGCTGTCCACATGTACAGTAGTGCTAACATGACATTTCTTATTATAGAATTATACTTTCAAAATTATTTTATTATAACATCATCAATTTCTATTACAACATTGTACATTTAATTTTAATATTTTTATCATTTAAATATTATAAATTTAATCAAATATGCTTACTAAAAAAATTATAATATCATAAATTAAACATGTTTACAAAATATCACTATTTTACGAATAAAAATATTCATAAAAAAATGATATCTGAATTGTACGCATGTTTAATTTCTGATATTATAATTTTTAAGAACATATATCTCTTCTAAATATTTGGTTTACATATTTTTTTTAAAAAAATTGGAGATTTTTACATTCGTTTTTTTTTCTCTATTTTAACATACACTTTATCATAACTAAGATTTAAATTCTTTCTCACCGGTAGAAGACGGTAAAACTAAATGTTTAACAGCGAAAAACAATATTTTATTAAATATATTGATTATTTTAATAATATAATTAAAGGGTTCAAACGAGAACACCTTCATTTTACAAGAACATGAGAACACTCTTTTACCATAGACAATCACATATGATATTATTATTTCATCACATATGATACACATGTGATACTAAATCAAGGACGCAGATGATTTTTGATGCGATCTTGGTTGTGGGTCAAGTCGCTCCTTACACCACTAAACTCCTTCACAAGTATTATCACATGTGATAAGGTTGTTGATATGATACTATAATCCATCAATACCATCACATGTGATGCTAAATCATAGACGCAGACAACCTTTGACGTGACCTAAGTCATAGAACACGTCGTCCGCACATCACAGGGTCTCCTCACGCGTATTATCACATGTGATAAGGGTGTTCTCGCGTTCCCATAAAATGAAGATGTTCTCGTTTAAACCTACACCTAATTAATGTTTGAAATCTTTAAAAACTAGTAGTTGGTAGTTAGATGTAAAAAAAATAGAGATTTTTGTGCTACAATCTACATTATTTGGTTATTATCATATAATAAATTATTGAAGATTTTTACCACGTTAAAGATTTAATGTATAGTCATGTATAAATTTCGCTACCTGGACTTCAGTTGATTTTATAAATCGATTTTCAAATGTTATATCGATACTAATATGATCAACCAGTTATATCTTGCTTATCTTGAGTGTATTGAGAGTCTTTATTTGATTCGTTTCTAAAATTAAAACCGATAACTACTGGTGATAGTGCATAATGTTTGTGATATCAATCTTAGAATACATGTTTTGAATAAATACCAATCGGAATTTGTAACCTCGTGAGCTAACTTCTGTTTTTCTTCAATTGCATTAATGAGGTCGCATATCAAATGACGTATAGGATTTGAAACCATGTAACGAGGAGTCGACTCACTGTATAAGGGTTTTTTTGTTCATAAATGAGAGCATTTGAAAATATGAATGAATTTCCGTTTCTCCCAAATTAATCTGGAATGAAAATTTAGGTCTGTGGAGGAATAAGACTCATCATATAAAACCAAACAGAATTTTTTTTCATTCTGATTGATTGTTGTTTAATACCTCTAATCAGACACCCCTAAAGTTATTCTAAATTCATCGACAAAAATCCAAACATTTCAAAGAAAGATAAAGAGGTAGAAATTTATCGAACAAACTGAACTCCTCCATTCTCCCCTCATCGTTGCTCTCTTTAGAATTTGGACAAGTGAAAGAAAGAAAAGGTTGTGAGTTCGATAGTCACCATAACTTTTATTTATTTTTGGTTTATTTCCGTCTTTACCTGTCATGCTTCGGAAATATGACGGCACGGGTCGACGGGCTAACTTGTTGGGCCCAAACCTTTTGGGTCGGTCCGACTCGTGATTGTTCTACTTCTCATACCATACGAACGAAACATAATCGTCCAAAACAAAATTAAATAAATTTAGAAAATGTCATCTGACTAGCGGTTAAATATGTAAAATATTCATTAAAATATATAGAAATTAACCAAAATATAACAAATTTTACCTCTACGACTGTTTTGTAATTCATACCCATTTTGATCATTAATATAGATCTTGTAACTATTGATGATATGTATATTAAATTATGCAAATTTTGTTACATCGCGTCAATAAAACTTTTTGCTAATTATATTATAATAGATAAAATTTAAAACATATATTTTATTATGATAAATAAACTTTATAAAAAATTTAGTTATTGTCAATGGAGTTTAAATTCGATTTTTTTATAATATCTTAGAACTTTATTTGAATTTCTATGATCCAAATCATAAACACAATCATGTTCTATGATAACAACAAATCGAACAATATTAAAAAGGAGAAATATGTAATAACAAATCACATTTTTTAAGAAATATAATTTCTACATACCTTTTAAAATCTTTCAAGTCTTCTTCAACTCTCATCTTCATCAACCCTTACCAAAGAAATTTCTAGAATTTCATTTTGTTTATTATTGAAACTTTAGAAAACAAATTTCATTAAAAAAAATAAAGTAAATGAAAAAACAAATAAGAGTTGGAGGTTAAACTTGAGTATGCAAGATTACAAAAAAGCTCGGGCTAATAATGAATTACACATTTTCCATTCAGGGCCGGAAAAGTCTTTTTAACATATTCAACATTTAAAAAACTCAAAAAATTGAGAAAAAAAAAATAGAAGAGATTCTAAGCATTTAATAGATTTCCAAAATGGAAAAATCATAAATACCCATCCATAAAAGTTGTTAATAAAAATAGAACAAATCAAAAGACAAAATAACAATAAAAACGACAACTTCTTAACCAATCAAAGACCGCCACATGGCAATTCAAAAATTCAAAGAGAGAATCCGACCCATCCCCATAACAGTTCCCCTGATTCAATGCGAGATTTGCTTTAACCGGTTGGGACTAATCGGTCATTCAAACGGGGATTCCTTGCTCAAAGATGGTAGCTTTAACTTTTGTAACCGGTAGGGCCTGACCGGTCCTTTTGTAACCAGTAGGGCCCAACCGGTCCTTTTGTAACCGGGTAGGGCACGACCGGTCCTTTTGTAACCGGTCGGTCCTGGTTTTCAATCCGTCGGAATAGATGTGCGCCGTGGATGAATTTAGAGAACTTTATATAGTAAGGCAGGAAATTCATTACACAGTTCTAATCCTATGAATCCTCTTCTCATACGCGATCACTTCCATCAAAATACAATCGAGAACAAAAATTAACCCACGAAAAGTTACAAATAGTCTCGTACCAGTTCAAAGCACACGAGCCCGCTCATGCTTTAGATTCCAATGCCAGAAGGATCTTCTTTCGTGGACCCTATACAAATAAAGTCCATCATCATAGGAAGAAAGACATACAGTTACCGGGTTACTATCCTACTGATAGAGTCCAGCCTCGAGGCCAAGGGTTCAAACCTTATATATTGTTGCGTATAACCAATCACACTTGGGGTCTGTTTTGTAGCATCTTAATAAGCTTAATAAGACTTGCAGTTTATTCGGGCAACTATACATGATTATTTGGTAGTGGCTTAATAATATAAAAAGTGACTTATTCAGTAAGCTTTTTGGGGGTGCTGTATGCGGAAAACCAAGTATTTTTCGAACATGCCACTCCCAATTAAAAAACACGCTACTTCTATCTATGAAAAAGCCTCCCAACCAAAACTCTTCCCAATCTATACAGACAAATTAATCCACACAGATAGCTTTTTTCCATACAGAACTTGATGGAAAACCAACCAAATTGGAATCGAACATTAAAATGTTCATAAAGCTATGGCTTTGTTAGAGTCCCGCATCGGCTAAACTTGGACCTATTATCCTCGTTATATGTTGGAACCTACCCTTCTCCTCAAAAGGCTCTTTTGAGGAGTAATCTAACAGGGTTCCACATATTCTTAAATCGTTTCACAGCTAAGGTCTACCACTGTAGAGACTTGACACTATTGGGCAATCTGCACTTGTTTATCCCCCTCTCGACACTCTAGGACAATTTGTGCCCATTTAGCCTTCATTGGAGGGATCGTGTCAAAGTCCACATCGGCTAGACTTCGAAATATATGTCGGAACCTTCCTTCTCTCCTCAAGGGAGCTCTTTTGGAAAATAATCTAACGGGGTTCCACATAAGGAAAGAATGTTACTCCATCCGTTGCAAATTAAGTGTCCACATTACTATTTTAGTTTGTCCCAAATAAGTGTCCACTTTCAAAAGTAAGTTTCTTATTTCCCATTTTACCCTCAATTATGAGTTGGAGAAAGTTTATATCTCTATTATCAAGGGTAAAAGTGTCATTTAGTAGTAATAATTGCACATTCCTAAAACTATGTGATATTTTCATTGTGAACATTTATTTTGGGACGGAGGGAGTACATTACAGAGAAGCGCAATGCAAGTTTTAGGTATCATGACAGCAAAAAGTTCTAAAGGATTTGAGCATCAGCTAAAAATCATAATAAGCATATACATGGCAATCACGTTGATCATGGACACACCAATGACCGTAGCCCATAGGTCGAAAGAAAGACGAACAGCAAACTTTCAAAAGGAAATTTAAAGAATGGTAGAAAGATATCTAATGAGGTAGATTAACGAGATCATGACACTTGAGGGAAAGACGCATAGTTTCTAGAAGATACTAAAACTGCCGGCACCTATTTTGAGAATGCCATCGGCCATCCGCCATCCTACAGATTTTGGCAAGAAATTTCTCAATATTAATCCTTGTTCTTTTAATTGTACTGAATAGTTCTGTAATGCCTATTCTTTCCCCTTGACTCATTCTCAAATCCATAAGTTTAGAGGCCTACACATTTAGCATTATTTCCATGTGTGAAAGGGAGCCTTTTGTTCAAAGCAATGTAATAACTCCTTGCATCCTACCATCTAAAACCTTAGTGAAAAGGTTGACAGGGGGCTAATCATGTGAGAACCACAAAAATATTACAAACCCCCGTGAGAACAAATCTCATTGTAATGTTTTAAATGATATTTTTCATCTTAGGCTAGGATTTACGCTATTGTTTCCCATATATTTGTTCGAAATGTATTTGTTTCACAATATGAAACTTTTTTACATGCATCTTTTGTTCCACAATGTCAAACAACACATAATTCACTGGTTCTGACCTACGCTGTTAATTGCAGCACTATAGCAGTGCAATAGCAGTTATCGGTCATAAGCAAAATAACAGTGGAAATTGTGGTTTCGATAATAACGGCGCAATTTACCGCTATTTCACCGATATTTGAGGTAAACAGCGGTCCGCAATACCGATATTCTCTGTTGGGCCTTTTTTTAATCTGACGCTTACGTTATTATCTCTTATTGGCCTTTTATTTTGATTTGGCCCCTTATTTTATGTTAATCCATTATCAGATACGTATATCATCCAGCATCCAGTTTAGAAATTCTTAGAATCTTAGGTTTTCAATGTATTTTTATTATCGTCGACAGCCAACCTTCTTCAACCCTGTTTGAGTTTTCTATCATCGTTTATGAACATTTTTCCTATTTTGTATTGTGAACTTGTTTAAATTGATGTTTTGATGTTGAAACTATATTTTTAATTGATGCATATAATATGTTTATATATGCATACATAGATATATATTAAATATACTAGAAGGGTACTCGCTCAATGTAGCGAGATACATCTTAATTACTATGATTTGTTTTGTTTTGTTTTTTGTCTATGTCGATATAATACAATTTTATGTAGTTTTGAGAAAGCGATAATGTTTTTATTTTTGAATAAAATATAAATTTGAAAAATATATATATCGATATTGGTATCAAATTAATTATTTAAAAAAATTCTCGTTTTTTGTGTAATTTCTTTAATTCAATTTTTTGTTATAATTTAATTTAGATTTAGTACCGAAATAATTTATTTTTGGTTTAATAATATAATTTTTTATGAGAATAATAATTAAACTCTGCTAGAACTCAATGATAATCCTTGTTATATTTTAGATTTTTATATTTAAAATGAGATGTTTATCTTGTATTCGATTATGTTCATCTGCAGTTAGTTACACGAATTCAAACATGGAGCTTTAATAAGTTGTACTTATGCACAATTTACTTGTAATCTTGAACTTTAAGTAATATGCATCAATATGCAGTAGTCCATGTATAAAAAATGGTTTTTAAGAGTTTTTATGCTTTATAATATAGTAAAGATAATTCTAAGAAATATAATATGAATTGCTATACCGCTGCGATAACCGCTATTTCAAATATCAGTCATGACCGCCATTTTGTATTTTGACCATTGTAATAGCATAGGTTCTCACAGTTCTCAACCTTTTTAAGGTTCTCATTTGATTATGCCCCAAGGTTGATATATGGTAGTACATGGGATGATGCTAAAGATCTCTATTTGTCTAGACTTCAAAAGTGCCGATTTCTCAACTAACCATAACTGCTGCACTCAAGGGTATCTTCGATTATCCCAAAACTCAGGAATAACTAAACCTTATCTAGACATATATTCTGAATCAATTCTCTCCTTGATACTTTTAGACATGAACAAACTTAGTTTCTCTAAAAAAACTGAGAATTCAATTAATTTCCAATGTCTTATACTGATGTTGCAACTTTAAATGCCTCTATGCGTTCACCTACTATATTGATCTCCACTATTTTCTTTTAATAACATGCCATAATCAACCAACACTTATTATAATATGCAGAATAAATGAATTCCCTAGAGGTATGCTGCACAAAAGCCATCAGTGAGTCGTATAGAATTTTGACTTACCATTGGTATTCCTATGGCCTTTAGATCTTCATCAGTCATGTGTAGAAGGGCAGTCATATCAACCTGCAAGACAGAATATGTTTAAAAGTTGGATACAGGTTCTAAAACAGATGGTATAGAAGAAAAGATTGTTCTAGAATTTCATACTTCCTCTGCTTGAAATGTAATTGAATACTTTTCAAGACCCAGTGCCTGCAAGAAGGTGTCTACTGTTTCAGCCTGCACAAAAGCCGTAGTGTTAAGAAAAAGAACATCATTGTAGAGAACATTAGAAATAATAGCTAAAATAAGCTGGATAATAACACAGATGGATCATCCAGGATCAAGACTTGTTTCAGTTGGAATAAAACTGTATACAAATCCATTAGTTAAAGTACTAGAGAAACAAAATCAGTAATTAAATATGATAGCACAAAATATTGAAATATTTGAGAAAACCCGTTTTGCTTATCTATCACCAAAAAGATTCATACCTTTAAGAAAACTACAGCCTTCTTATTATAAACCCAAGAGTTGAATATTTTCATAAAATGGAAAACAGCCAGCAACATACCTTTTTTTTCTTAGAAGCAATGTTAGCAACTTTTTTAGTCTCTGCTACAGGGGCTTCTGCAACAACACTTCTCCTAGTAGATTTACTGCTCTCTGGTACCGATTTTGGCTTTGCCTGAACAGTTACTGCTGGCAGTGAATAGGTTATACCTGACAGCTTTTCACGCAGATCTCTTACACCTCCTGATAATGGTCCCCTAGCACCTTGAGTTGCCTGCTGATTACTCTTCTTCTGGAGCTTCAAGCGGAGGTCAAGGACACCAACTCTGCGATCTAAGAAAGTCATAGAACACATCAGGTAAACGTGCGAGGGGGGTTAGCATACCATTATGTTGAATGCATACATATCCCTATTGTAACAATCAGATTCATACTTGATATTTGCGGATCTGCCTGTTCGTAAAGATCATGCTCCCACTTGTCATCATTTTGCCTCTGCCTGCAGCAAGAAAGTCACTGGTTCAAGTAAAATAAGTTTTTGTCCAATAATCTCCCTTCCGACCTGATCGGGAAATGTGGGTATCATGTGCCCAAATTTACAGAAACAAATACTAGTGTTCACAGGAAAAAGGTGTACCCTTTCTCTATCAAGCCATAAAAGATCAAAAATCTATACAAAAATAACAAGTGACGGTAGAAAATAAGTTGAATTGCTTACACCCTTATCTAAGGTCCTTGGCTCCTATAGATCTGCTTTCCTTCTACTAGAGTTTCCCACAGTGTTAGCACTAAACAAAGCTAGGCGGTTGAGTGGGTTATGCAGAAGCATAGGCAGTTCATTTAAATAATAAGGTATAATCATTTTTAAATTATGTAAACACATAAGAATCGAATTTTCAATACTATAGTACTTCAATACAGGTTCTGAGAAGTCGATGGATCCCAAGTTATGTTTTTGAAATGCTTAATTAAAGGGCTGTTAATCAAAGAGGTGGGGTATACAAATCTCCCAGGTGGTGGTTAACCAGCCCTAACTAATCGACGGGACAACAATTAATGCCTTGACGCCCATTCGAAGTAGGGACCAGCAGGGTTTAAGGCAAAAATGAGATGGAAACAGCATACTAGAACTCAATGTTACTAATCGACCTTGTAGATATCCTTCTGTCCAAGAAAAAAGGGGCTACTAAAAGAAAAGGGGAAAATTTGAGATGTAGGCATAGCAACATACTACAAAATGTCTAATTTTATCAAAGGATCACTAAGTCATGCAGTTAAAAATCCATCGAGGTTTTTAAGATATGCAGGTTCCATAAAATCTACTTCATACAGCTCTCACCACAGCCATAGCTCAACCATCATGGATCGTCCACATTCTTTCTGCTTCTTTTTGTATTGCACTAGCTCCAACAATGATCAAAACTAATTCTCTTGGTATTTTACTTTTAACTCTCTGTAATTTGCAAAAACTATTGTTCTAATATTATTTTTCAATCTATTTCCCAAATAGAAACATGCATCCAACTAATAACCTTCCACTCCAAGCATCGACCCTGGCAAGACATTATCAGACGACAGGAAATCATGTCTTGATCCGTCCTCAAAGCGGATTGGGATCTCTGTCAAAAAAGTTCATTGTCCTGGTAACTTCTACTTTAGAATCTAAATAGCACTTTCTTTCTGGTGTTGCAACAAATCAGCATGCTGGTAATCCTTCAACCATTTAGAAAAATAGTAAGCACAATTTGCAAGTCTCCCTACTAACCAATGCCAGCCTTGCCCTTGCTGTTCCAGAAAGCAATCATGCCAACTCTAGGCGGGTCCTGGTGCTTACTACAAAAAACCTACACTCAACTACAGCTTTAGAGTACATTAAAACCACAATATCTTCGAATGAGACACAAAATTTCAAATTAACAATCAATTGAAAGAGATAATCAAGCAAAAACACATGACGCACATATAGCATATCAAAATAAAGCGCGTGTGTTTACATGACGAGCGAGAAATAGATATAGAGATAGAAAAAAAGAACCTCTTGCCAGTAATTTGTCTACGGCTGCGGGAATTATCTAGGGCTCCGCCATTAAGACGGTCTTTAATCGAACTCTTTGGCGCAGTCTCCACCCGATCAGCATACATTCTCGATACAATTCAAGGAAATCGTATCTAGAAGAACAATTTGTGATAAAACCCTAACCCTAAAGCCCCCTTGATGACAGTAAATTGGAAAGAAACCCGTTTAGATGTCAAAATTTGGGGGAAGAGGCGAGAGGGGATCGGGAAAACAATCGAAAAGAAAAAGGAAACAGAAGCGGGTCCTTTAATCTTTATGACATTCGGGCTTTTGTTACCAATCGGGTCGCCCAATCCGTTGGTCCGATCCGACCCGACCAAAATAAACCAATTGTACTTCAATCATATAGTGTGGCCGGGTCCGGCGATGTTCATGTAATTTTTATCGAGTGGGTGTGGAAAGTCGTCCGATGTGTTTTTAGCTGAATTTCATCGTTTTGATGAATTTTTAAAGTTTTTTTTATTTTAAGGGATGTTTTTTTCGGGGGTTTTTTATATATCCCTTGTATTTTCTAGTATGTAGAAGGACTCTTCAAAGTTTAGTAAGTGCATCTGTCATACTCTAAAAATTGTATTTGTGAAAATCGGTTAACCGAGTGTACTGAACCGCACTCGGACCTTCATAGGTCCCCTCCTTGGTCGGGGTCGTTTGAAAAAACTTAAACCTACAGAACTCAGTTTACTAGAGTGTTAAATATGCATGACAAGACAGAACAGTATGGAATACATATTTGTTGTCTAACATTTGACACAACATGTTAGGTTTGGGAAGGATTGGGATCTGATGTGACAAAAGTGCATTATTGTTCTTTTGATAAAAGCTAAGCATTCAATGCCAAATTCATTGTTGAAACTGGTAGTTATGTAGTGGGAATTGTTCATAAGTGATTGGTATGATGTTGGTACGTAATCAGTACGTTTAGAGCATTAAATGAGCTAAAATTGGAGTTTTTCATGTACATATATGTGCAATGAGTTAAATCGTGAAATTAAAGCATGAATTGTATGTAACGACATTTCCAAGTAAAAGCATGACTCATACCCTATTTGTATATGTTAAGAGGTGAGATCATTTAGACTATTTGTTCTTTTTCCAATTTTTCCAGAAACACTTGTATTTTATTATACTCATAGTTTCAATACACAAGGATATAATGTTATAATACCAAAAAAAAAAAAAAACACTACAAATGGTAAAAAAGATGAATTTGGGTGAGTTAGTACTCGCTAGTGATGACCAAATCGGCCTGACCAGACTCGAGACCGTCAGAGGCCCCAGAACCGGGACCGGCAAAGGACCGGCCCGACCTGGGACTAGTTATAGGACCGGAAACCAGGACCGGTTCATGATTTGGGGTGTTTCGAGGGACCGAGACCGGTTATGGCCCGGCCGAATCCGATTTTTCAAAAAACTAGTCGTTTTTATAGCCGTTTGGTGACTTTTTTTTGTCATTTTTGCCTTCTAAACACTATATACAAGTGTCATGGTTGAAAGATTTACATACCAACTTACAAAACGCAAAAAACGTTCACAATGACGGGACCGGCTCACCATAACCGGCTACACTTCACCTTAACCGGGCTCACCCAATTCGACAGGACCGGTTACGGACCGGCACTGTTGAGGCCCGGCCCGACCCAAAACCGTTTTTTGGCCATCACTAGTAATCACTAAAGTTGCATAGCCCTCCTTCTAAGTGACGTATGCACTTAGGAAAAAAAACATAAACGGTAATAGGGATTTTTACTGATGAGATTAATAAAAAATATTGTTTATCTCTTACAGTTTGTCCATTTTAAAAAGGATTTTAAAAAATTATTGAAAAAAAAAATTAGCCAAAATTTTTAAAGAACATTTCCAACAAATTATCTAAAAATCAAGATTCTGGGTAAATTTTTGCTCCAACAGATTTACAAAAAATTTATCTATAATGGTAAAAATGAAGAAAGAGTATAAAATTCTTCAAATTCAGATAACTCCAAAAAACAATTTTCATGAGAAAGAAATATTTTTTTTCATTAAATTTCACCCTAAGGATGTAAAATGATGAAAAATGACATATTAAAAAACTAATCAATGACTTATAATATGAATAAAAATCAAAATATTTTACTTCACATATCCTAATTAATTGTTAATTTTTCAAAAAGTATATTTAATAAGTTTATTCAAATTATTTACATGTTTTTTATTATCTGTAAACGAACCTTTGAAGATTTTTAATCCGTTTGTATCCCGAAGAACAAAAACAGAAAACAATATATTGAACAGTATTGTTTCATATATATATATATATATATATATATATATATATATATATAGGGGAGCAATCAAATGCAAACCACTCAATTTGTACAAGCCGTGCAAACCACATTCAACCAATCATAATTTTT